TTCAACGTGTGCCACTCAGCTCTGTATTGTGTGTTTTTTTTTATGGGTACAGAATTGAAGACGAATCTACGTAGTTTAAGGCGGGGCTCCGCGATACCGCCTTATTTCTTATTTGCCTACATTGTAATTAACAATCTTCATTGTAATTACCAATCGTGAAAATGACAGTTAATTAAATGAGCGTAGCCGACTACCTCCGTTGACGACCCTGCAATCATCTCTTTTTGCAAAATATCTTTACGTTACATAAGTGATTAGTAAATAGAAAGATAAATGTCTATCAGTGTTTTTATTTATTTATTTATTTATTTATATGTGAGAATTGCTGAACAAGTTCAAGTAATTCATTTTACCGTGAAATATTATATGTACAAAGAAGAAAACATAATGTAGTATCAACTTGTATTACTACTGTACTAAAACTTGTACTAATTCGAAGAATTTTTGTTACTTGTAATGCTCGCACAACACAAACAGATTCTTCGTTTTGCCGCTGCAAAGGCGAGTATGAAACTTCTTGAAGAACCTAATAACATGCAACTGTAGCGCAGTGTTCGTTGCTGTATCTCATTTTCACCTTCCCTCATTTGTGATAACACACACACCTTGAGGTTTTAACGATCATTTTCCCACGATGTAGCTACGTTTCTCCATCCCAACTTGCGCGCTATGGAGTTCTTAATTGCCGCTGCGCGAACACCGATTGCAGCTCGCGAGCCGGTTATCGCTCGTTAAGCCGTCCAGAAAAGTTACCGAACACCCGTTTCTGGCGAGCTCCGGAGAAAAAAAGAAATCTCGAATCGAGCATCGAACGGTTTCCGTTTGTGTGTACACTATGACCTAGAATCGACGAATTTTTCCGTGAGAATAGGTTTGATTTCGCTTAAATCCGGTTTAGAACATTTCAATTGCGACTGTGCGCATCAATACTTCGTTTGGAAATTTTTGTTCCAACGTGTGTCGAAACTTTGGCAATCGAGTTTCCGTCAAATTCCACTTACGATTATTTTTAAAAGCAACGAGCACAGTTTTATCTGCAATTGTGTATTTTTACAATTCCATTTTGTGATAAAGTTGGAACTTTTACGACCTTAAGCGCGGCCGTATTTAATTCGCTCTAATTCGTTCGCGAATTAAAAATGAAATGCGATGCTTTCGGGACATTGTGCGCACACACATGAGCGCGCAGTGTCAGTAGTAATTAAGCAACTCCATATAATGACGCGTTCTGTGCCTCGTACAGACACTATTTTAACTTCATTTGCAACATTTTATCGTTTTCGTTCGTGCGTGTGTGTCTGTCTGCCGCGCGATATCTGCATCGCGCGCACCAAAACGGCTAATGTGTTTACCGCCGAGCATCGTTCACGCTACAAATATTTAATCCGACGATCAAATAATCTAACGAACGTTAACCCCTTTCCCGTAACTGATTCACCGTGTCGCGTGTTTGCACGATTACTCGTACCCGACGATACGATTTGCATAATTAAGTACATTCGTCGTCAAGAGTGCCGAGTGTGACATTTCCGACAAAATCGCCACGTTTCGAACAATTACGCCACTCAATTACATTTCCCGACGTCGATGACGTCGTTACATTCGACGCGATATTGTTGCGGCAGAATCGATATGTCGGGAATAAAACTAGGTTGAGTTTACGTAATATCTAATTGAAAGAGAGGTGCACAAAAATGAATAGAAAATACAAATAAAAATGTTTTATCGCGCATATAATCGACAAACTGTCGCGATATTATGTCACGATTTTTTTATCGGAAATTTCTTTTCTTTTTCACACGCAATTCCGTTTTTGCTTTTTATACCCGCTCACATTATGGCTACATGATTTTATTATCGTCATTGTCGTCATTATCATCATCATTATCATCATCATCATGTCCACATTGTCCACAATGATAATAAAAATGATTTTTGTGGCTACATTTTGTTTGTAATATCTGTTGTGTTTTATTTTGTTGAACTATCAATTCTTATACAGTTTTTCTCTCTCTTTTTTTTTTTTTTTTTTTATAAGTGTAGCGATGCATCTTCGCCATTCCACGGGATACCCATTTTAATCCGAAAGATCCATATTCGTAATCTTCATCGTAGATGTGTCATGCGATATTACATCCGGCATCTCATCGCTGTCGGTGCGCTATATGGAAATTGCTTGAATATATCGCATCATCTCTCCGCACACCTCGCATCACCCGCCGATATGTCACACACCACATACTAACGCAACGTTGAATAATACGGATCATGTAAATGCATCTCGCTCTCGTTTACACGTCATCCTCGCGTCATTCATGAAGAACATGTATCCTGATATTAATGCGCGATGTCATTGACCGTTTACGAACAATTCGAAAACAGTTTCGAATATTCGCCCAGCCGTAACGATATGTTCCCTACTCTCTACAGCTCGCACGCGAACTCGAAGCCGGCCATGTACACGGAACTTCATCAGGACGGTAGCCTGTCTCTGTTCTTCAATTCCCTCAAGGAGGATCAGGCCGGGAAGTACACTTGCAAGGGAACATATGCGCGCAACGTGCCACTGGTCAAATCTGTGACGATCGATACTATCAGTGAGTATGCGGAACGTCGATTCAAATACTTGTAGTTTTTTTTTTCTTTTCAATTCAGAGACAGACGTTACATGACGAGATATGTCTCTCCCATTGACGCGTATATATCGAGCAATATTTGATTAATTTCCCGAGAGAAGAAATTCGAGAAGAGCGCATGCACATTTGAACGATAATAAAACAGAATGCTTCTATCATTTTATTATTGGAGGCTAAAACGCGGAACGTTTTATCAAGGCGGCAGTAACGCATTGATAAAACAATGCAATTGATATTTTTAGTTTAATAATCGAATAAAACCGTCAAAAAAAACCAATCAATCGATGTTTTTAGTAAATTCAGAGAGATATTTGAATTTAATCTCGATGTGTTTTCGGAGAGATCAAATTTGCATCGCTATGTAATGCGGTATAACGCACAATGCTTTTCTAAAAATAAAAATAAAAAAAAAAAAAAATGCTCCAATTTGTATAACAGTCGCGATCACATGGGACAACGCGCCGCAGAATCAATATCCCATTCGCGGGAAAGACTACGCTATCCAGTGCATAGTACGCGCTAGACCGCCGCCTTCGGTTGACTGGCTCTACAACGGAGAACTGATCAAGACGAACGATCACTACGTCATTGACACTCATTCGTTGAAGATCAAGAACGTACAGGAAACCGATGACGGTGTGTACACTTGTCGCGCGTCGGTGCCGACTACGGGCGAGTTGCAAGAACGACCCATCCGCGTCGAAGTTCACGTAGAACCGTCGATCGAAGAGATCCCAAGTCAAATCGACGTAATCGAGGGCGATAGCGCGAACATTGAGTGTAAAGCCAGCGGCAAACCGCCTCCTGAGTTTTCGTGGGTCAAACTTTTCAACCAGCAGAATCTCTCTTCTTCCGATCGTTTTAAAGTCGATCCGGTCACGGGAATGCTCGCCATTACTAGCGTGAGACGCGATGACATGGGCGAATATCAGTGCATAGCGTCGAACAGCGCTGGCAGAGTCACCGCCACCATCGTGATAAACGTGATCGTTAAGCCAAAGATCAGCGAGTTCGTGAACATGACTGTGGTCCAGGGAAAGAACGTGGAAATGAGATGCAAGGCTACCGGACATCCGCTGCCAGAAGTGACCTTCAGGAAACACACAGCTGAGAAACCGTACGTGATGGGCATTCAGCCGCAGGACGACAGAATAATTCTGGAGAACAAAAATGACGAAACGACCAGCGAGATTATCGGGATTCTGAGGATCGGTAACGTTCGCACCGACAACGACGGTCTGTACGAATGCATAGCGAAGAATCTCGGCGGCCCCGTTTACACAAACGGCCACCTTACGGTCGAGTTTCCGCCGTCCTTCCGCAATATGCCGAACGCCACGGCCTGGTCGTGGGAGCAGCGACCGGTAAATCTCACTTGCATCGCCGAGAGCATACCGAACGCGACGATAAGCTGGTATCGTGGCAACCAAAACCTTGACATCGAAAGCGAAGGATTCACCAAGATCGGCAACGGACCAGTTTCTATTCTCCAAATAATACCTTATAATCAAAGGTATTATACGACTTACAAATGCGTCGCCTCCAACACGCACGGTAAAAGCGAGCACATGATCGAGCTGCGAGAAGCAAAAAGACCTGGCAATCTTCTGAAGGCCGAAATGGCCGAGACCACCGCCACGACAATAAGTTTCGATTTGATACCGCCGCAGCAAGTAGACTTGCCCATTAAGGCCATCACTGTGCAGTATAAAGAGAAAAATGACATCTGGTCAAACGCGAAGAACAAAACGTGGTCTGTCGGTAAGTTTTTGGAATAATAAATCTGGTTTTTAAAATTTGTATCATACTTATCATGTAAACCTTCGCTTACGTTCTACAACCGAATTGATCTGAATTGATCCAACAAATTAAGTAATCTGAATTTTGAGAGGACTTGTTCCTTTATCGCTCTTGAATATGCAAATGATAGTCTAATAGCGAGAACGAAACTTCAATTTTATGTATGAAGATAGTACGAAATGAGTAAGAAAAGACGAACGTATACGGTGGAATACATGATGTTAGTTATTCATGAGTGCGAAAGGTAACTGGTACAAAGCGTGCATATAGATAACTTAACAAGTTGATGATGGGAGAATTTTAAAAGTTTTTAATTGTTGTCTTCCTTCTCACCGACTTGACGCGCGTTCTCATTTCTCGCGGGCTGTTCACTTTTTAACTACTAACCGTCACGCAACCAATTTATCCGCAGGTTCAACGTTATACGTTGTCGAAAACTTAAAGCCGCAGACGGGCTACGATTTCCGATTTGCGGTGAGTACCGATGTCGGCATGGGGAATTGGGGCAACAATCGTTATGATTCCACACACAGCAGAACGGTACCGAACAAACCCAAAATTCTGACCACATCGGATTCCAAGTACGAGCAGTCAGCCTACAGCAATCAGTATGAGCTCAAGTGGTTGACGCCGCCCGATAACGGTGAGCCCATCGATCTGTATGTGATCAAGTTCTGCGAAATAATAAGACGCGTCACCAACGATTGGGACGTGATCGACAAAACTTGCAAAACGATGGAGACTCGGGGTAGGACGACGCAGTGGCTGAAAGGTTTGAAGCCCGACACCTTCTACACGGTCGAAGTGAAGGCTCACAACATAATGGGCCACAGCGAACACGGATCCGCCATGTTCAGAACCGCCAGAGGTGAGTTGAAGTTACATTGCAATTAAATTCTCGGTGTTCCTTTGATCCAGCGTAATTCTTGCTATGACGTATCTATTTTTCTCGTAATAATTTCTACTCGAGATATACAGTTCCCTTTGAGATATATATATATATACATATATTATATATATGTGCACGAAGCTACTGCACCGAATGATATTTTTTCTTCGCGATCTTCGGATCGCTTGTCAGTTTGTCGCCCCTAGTTTTTTTTCTTTTTTTTTTTTTATTCAAGGGGAAGGGAAAAGGGTTATTTGAGGTCTTCCGTTTCCTCAAGTTTCGAAAAAGTTTTCGCTCATTTAGACAATTTTTGTTCGTTGATTTTTTTTTTTTCAATGATTTAAATTGGTTCTATCGAAACGGCGAAACGATCTTGTTATCGCCAGGAAGGCTACACTATGTTTATTTTGCCTGTTGCGCTGCGCATTAATTTTTTTAAGAGCAGTTATGTTTCGTAATTTATATCAAACAATAGAATGCGAAATTTATCCATGAAACACGAAAATTTGTGCATTAGTGAATTTCATTACTTTTTTCTATATTTCACCAAGTACTTTTCTGAAAGTGTATGCATTTGTATCTTCGGATGTAAATTTTTATTTGTAGAAAACGTGAAATATAATTTTTTTATATGTTTTTAAACAAATTTTGAAAAGTATATATTTCGAGGTTGAATCGCGTGGTTGTCAGAGTTTTATACTCAGGTTTGACAAGCTGCTCTTGAATTCTCTGACAAAGTGAGTTCAAATGTTCACGAACACGTCGGTACAAAAATAACACTAACGCGGTTCAAACCGATTTTCAAAAATTCTTACGAAACACATAAAGCATAAAATGTTGAGTTTTATTTTGTAAATATTGAAGATTGTTAATTCGGAAGATTGTTAATTTGAAATAGTCTCTTACGTCTTCTTGCACGTTAATGAATTTTATTCACGATTTTAATTTTGATGAACAGTTTTTACATCTTCTTGCACGTAATGTAATTTTATCTCCCGCTTAAAACGTAAATTAGAAAATTAATTCTGTAAGTGTTACCAAGCTTTTACCAGGCCCTTCTGGCGTTAATCAAGATTGGAATAAGCCCTCAGATCCCTTGACCCTGTGCTAGACACCAAACTAGCTAAAGCTACCCGGTGAACGTCGGCAGGCTTAGTAGAAACGTTTAGAGAATGTTTTACGCGACGACAAAAAAAAAAAAAAGAAAAAAAACCCTACTGGAACAGGGAAGATTTTGTTTACACAGAGCCTTTTTATCCATTCAGAATCTGCGAGCACTGCGGACTACTCAGTAGTAACTGGTGCTGCTGGTGATACTCGCAAGACCGCCGTGGCCGCCATTACCGCAGCAGTAATTCTCCTATCTCTAGCCATTTAGAGTCGTCGTCAGGAATATTCGCTCCTCGCGCTCTAAATCCTCCCTCCGTCGCGTCGTGAGCGCGATGATAGGAAAAGCGAGAGGCGAATTTCGCCGCCAAGTACAAGCGAGACACTACGACGGACGAGAAAGAGAAAGAAAGAGAAAGAGACACACACATGCTCCATTATTCTAAAAAACATACATTTTTGTGATTTCCCGCGAAATCTCGTTGTTTGTCCGAGATTTAAATCAAAAATTGATCGAATTCGAATTTCTCTCGGAGAACGAGGCGTTTCGACGACCGGGATTTCGCGCGAAATACACGACGAGAGAGAGAGAGAGAAAAAGAGAGATAGAGTTACATCATTCCGCGAGAGAAAGATTTGTACATGCGTGTCGTTCATTTATATATCTGTTATTAAATCGATCGACCACGAAGATTCAAAACAGATCGATCGCGGTAACATTCCGAAGTAAAAAAAATAAAAAAAAAAATAAAAAATGAAGAAATAGTGTTTAAGCGAGTTTCTGTATAAGAGATGGAGAGCGCGCGTGAAAGATCGAGAAGCTACTATATAAATGTATATTTATATTACTTACAATTTGTTTTTTTTTTTTTTTTTT